TCCACTCACCATCTTTTACATCAAAATCCTTCGATCATAAAAACGTTTCAAGTGAATTCTAGTTTCTGCCACAGACTAAATCTTCAATCCACTTTATAGCACTTCTGTATGACACAACCAGCTTGTTCTCTTATAATCTTTTATAATTCTATACCATGTTAAAGATGAAAAATTCAGAATATTCAAAAACAAATCTGTTTTGGAATAATTTACATTCTTGGATCTTTACCAATTTCTTAACAAAAGTGCAAAAGAAGAATCTGGCCACATTTTTTTTTGATAAAACATAAGACAATTCTGTTTAATATTTGTATCCAAACAACACATCATTAATATTGCTTGATTTGTTTTAATTTATACATCAATACACTTACATTTCTTTTCAGAAAATGGATTTTTATAGTCAAGGTATTGGCATTCGGTCTCCAATCATTGAAAATAACTAAGGAAGTTTTGTCTAAGATTTCTAAAGATATAAAGTTTGTTATCAACGGATGCTCTTCCGTGGAGATAACTGTATTGATTTTTACAATTCATCCATTCCATTCAGAATATTATTAACAGAGTTATTTGAAACTGTCATAAGAATGAAAATGTTTAATTAGAAGAGTTTGAAATGTTTATTTTAAGAAAATAATAGCTTCAAATGGTTAATTGTAAGAAACACAAGCTGAAATCAACTGATTGTAAGGATAAACTTGAATCAATTACTTGTAAGAAAGGAAGACTTGTAAGTAGAGTTTAAAATGTTACAAGGCAGCTGGACATAGCTACAATAATTAAGATTTTTTTCAAATGATTACAAAAGTAGAAAGCTTCAGATTATTATAATAATAAAGTGACAATACTCTTACTAGAAAGAAATCTCTGGAAATGATTGTAAAATAATAAAGGTTAATTAACACCAAAAGACAGTATTATTTCCTGTTTTAATGGTAGAAGTTTACGAGAACGAAGGAACTTTATGCTTACAAGTAAAAATATAAGCCGAAATTTCCAAGAAAATGTGTCGAAGTGATTGCTTGTAAGAAAGAAAAGATAGAAAAAAATAGTTGAAAATGATTGCGAGTAAGAAACATCCTCAAATTTCTGCAAGGACTTCGAAGTGGTTACTTGTTGTTTGTTAAATTATGGCATTGCAACACTTGGACAATCTGCCTAGGGGATACCTTCCGGGAGGTCTTTTAAAGAGAAACTTGTCCATATTTAGGCATTACAGACGTGGAGAAAACCCGGAAAACTCCACGTGGCCAACCGTCCCAGCGAGGCGCGAACTCCCAGTATTCAGGGTACGAAGATCGCTCGGCACTTCGAATTGGTTACAAGAATAAAAATCGTAACGCTAACAATGAAAAAAATACTGAAACTGTAACCGTCCTCCGTCGAACTGTATTGTCCCCTCTTTTTTTTTTTATTTGGAAATTTGAAACATTTAACCCCATAAAAAGAAAAAATTGCTTTAGAAATAAAACTCCAAGAAAACAATACGCAGAGATTTATGTAATTTATATCTCGTATGACAAGGACGACCTTCGAGTGTAGACAGAAAATATCGGACGAAGATACAATTTTCGATGGTATCAATTCTATTTGGAGAAAGAAAGATAAATATGGATTTTCATCCGTTTGCCGAAGACGACGTCTGAGATCTTAAATTGATTTTTAAGTCGATAGATGAAGCGAGAGATGCGAAGAAAAATAAGTTAATTTTATTAATTCTGATTGGCCAGATTTCTATAATCGTAATGGTTGCGATTTTTTACGCTTTCGACCAGAAACAAAATTAATATCAGTAATTAGACGGATATTAACGAAAGAATTAATCCAATTTTCTAAACTGTAATCGAATTACGCACGGATATTAATTACTTAGAGAAAGAGAGAACTAATATATAGATTTAAAGCAATTAAGAATTTTTTAAAAATTTCGCCATTTTGTAGCGGTTTAAAGGTGAAAGAATTAATAATATAATTAGAATAATACGTTTAAAACTTTTTCAGATGGAACCAAAATGGCCGACGTTTGATTTGTTTAATAATCTTTTAAATATTTTTAACGTAATTAATTTTAAATTTAACATTTTAAATAACGTATATAATACTTTTTTTTTTTAAAGTTTATAAATAAAACATTAATCTCAAAACATTTTAGATATTATTTTTAAATGGAACCAAAATGGCGGATATCGTATATTTTTTTACGTGATTTAGGCCATTTAAATAATTTTCGCTTGCGTGTATATAAAGTTTTCAATTTATTTTTAATATAGTACAAGTACACCTCCCTATAACACGGTAGATAATTCCGTGTTGTACGAGTCACTTAGATTTTACAAATACGTGTGCCGGGCTGTGAACGGCTCACATATTTGTAAAATCTAAGTGACTCGTACAACATGGAATTCATATAACACGGAATTATCTACCGTGTTATGGGGGGTCTACTGTATTTATGAATTCGAGAGTGAAAATTTTTAGGGATTTTTTTTAATATATAATTTTGGATAGAAATTCGGAAAATCTGTTAAGAATTTTGTACGAAAGTGTGCAAATTTCATGCCACGAGTTGCGCTTATTTTAGGCCATTTTAGGCTATAAAATCTTTAAATTTTGCCCAATTTTACTATTAATTATCGCTGAAATTTTCGATTTATTCAATGCCTCTTCACTTGTTGCAGAATATCGGAAATTTTATCTAAAAAAGCAAACCCTGATATAAAATAAAATAAGAAAAAAAAGCAATTTGAAGAGTCTGTCAGTTGTTTACTTCCCATATTAATCGATTTTTTTTTAGAAGAAGAGTACAGATAATTCTTATTTCTTCTCCAGGCAAATGTCCCAACAAAAAATATTGCTTAAAATGTGTTATAGATTTTAAAAAAAAGAAAAATTTTATTCAGAAATTTTAATGATTTATTATGATTCTTTCATATAAATTAGATTTATTCAATGGGTTTTTGAATATTTATCATTATATTTTAACATTGAAAATTTATGTACAGTAGACTCCCCTATAACGCGGGTTTCTATAACATAGATTCCTATAACGAGGCGAAAAAATTGCGACAGTATTCGTATAAAGACGCTAAAAGGGACGCGTAAAACGTGGTAAAACGTCATCGCCAACTCGTCATCGGGGACGAGCAGCCGAACTACTTTCCGCCGTCCAGCGCCACGCTACGGAGAGTTTAGGCGAGTAAGTTGAGTTTACCATCGTCTGTACAGTATGTAAATTAGGTACCGTAAGTCTAATACAACACTGTAATTTTATACATTTCTTGTGAAAGAAGCATTTCTTATTCAACGGCCATAAAAATTATTTCTATTAATGATGTCTCCAAAGTTCAACGAATTTTTCGCAGAAAAATAACAATCGCGGCCGCCGTTTGGTGCGCTGCTCCGCGACGTAAACAAGCTTAAGCAATGGCGACGTCGAACGGTGCACACTCGGTAAGTAATCCTACAATTTTTTGTTTATAGCATAGTTTATACGGATTATTCCCAAAAAATTATACGTATTTTAGAAATGTTAAATCGAATTAGTCTAGAATCAATTAATTTTATGGAAGAAAACCTTTCAAACAGCCGTAGTCCGTAAACTTCACACATGTCGGGCTGCGATTGGCTCATGTATTTAAGGATTCCTACAACGCGAAATTCGTATAACAAGGAACCTATCTCCGCGTTATAGGGGGGGTCTACTGTATTGGATGCACATTCTATAGAAAAATATTAATTTTTGAATTTAAACATGTGTTTTTTTAAAAACGTATTGTAAAAATATAAAATAATTTAATTTTATTGTCGTAAAATAAAATTGAATAAGACATTTTTAATGAAGTTTATTTTAAGATTTATGAATCTTAATTTTTTTTTTTTTTTTTTATTTTAGAAGCTTACTTTAAATATGAAGTCGATACTATATTCGACTTGATTTATTTATTTTCTCGAATTATTATAACTTAAAAAAATTATTTTAAAGTTATTTTTTGATGTTTTAACTGAAGATTTACAATAAAATTTCAGACGTGGTCCTAAAATTTAAGCTAAAAAAACCGGGGGAAAAAAAATATATATCCTCCACAGACAATTTTTCTCGGTTAGAATCTCGTTTTTCGCTTCGAAAAGGCAATTTATATCCGTTTATTTTTTAAAAAAATGACAAATAATGAAAACAGATGCGTATTTTCTTAGAATATTTTCAATTCAAATGTTTAAATATGTTTTATTAGAGAAAATAAAACGAGTTTTACAGATTCGTTTCTCAACGTCGAGTAGGCGAGTTACCTAATACACTAAAAAGGATGCTGAATAAGAAAAGGTTGGAAAGTAAACATTTTAGACGTTTTTCAGGCTAAATTAAGGCTCCTAATTAGTTATATATTAAAGAGAAGGATACATTTTTCAGTTTTATCAATATTTTTGAATGAAGATAAGATAGAAACAATTCAGCGAAGAATAATGCAGGAATTATTACTATTATTATTTTATTTTTTTATTTATTCTCTTTCAATTCACTTCCTTTAATCAAAGAATTTCCTCCAGAGCAACACTTTCATATTTTTCAGGAAATAGACTTCGTTTTCAGAGCTTATATTGACTAAACTTCTCTTCCTTTCAATTCTTCCTCCTCTTCTTCTTCTTCTTCTTCTTAAAGATTTTTCCGTTTTCATTTTGAGGTTTCTATTTTTTTAAAGCCGTAAAGTAAATATTTAATCCTCGAATTTATATCTTAAAAAATCGATTTAACCAAGAGTTATCATCATTACTTCTTACGATTAACTTCATTCAACCATTTCCTATGTATATATACAAGTCTATACTTTGCTTTATTTTTCAATCGTTTAAATAAACTTTAAATAATTTAATTCTTAAAATGAATTNAAAATCTGATTTAATACAAAATAACAATCATTTTAATCTAAGTTTGTTTTGCTTTTGTTTTCCTTGCAGTTTAATGTCAAATACTGTAAATTTCATCTTTTTTCTATCATTTTTAGAACTCTCTACTGTGCTAAGGGAAATTACGATTTTGGAATATCTCGAGTGATCAAGAGTTTGGAGCCGTACAATAAAAAACTTGGAACGGAGACCTGGTTTTATGCCAAGAGATGTTTCCTGTCTCTCTTGGAAAATCTCTCCAAACAAGTAATTATGGTTCGTGATATTGTTTTGAACGATTGCTTGCAGTTCTTGACACATTGCGAAAGTAAGTAAATGTCTTCTAATCAAATAATCTCTCTCTCTCTCTTTCTCTAGATTTATATTTTTCTAACGAGTATATTTATTAATTTATTTAGCCTACGGAAGGAATGTGAGAGCTGCCGCGGAGCAACCACTAGATGAGGCTCACGTTCATCCCGGAAAAAACACAGTCACTTACGAGGCCCGCGTCTTAAAAGCTCTGATGCTTGAACTAATGCTCTGATCTCTCGTAAATCGTTGCGAGACTGTCCCTCAAACGGATTCTGCACCTTTGTAGTCATGCGAAATATTCAATCCGTCCACCTTGCAACCGTCATAGCTCGTTTTTATATTTGATTTGCATACAGTTGCAAGAAAGTTTGTTATTTATTCATCTAGTCATTAAAAAATTTTATTTATTTTACCAAAATAGTTTTTAAATAAATAGTTTCAAAAAGAAATGTTTTTATTTTTAATAATAATTTAATAAATATATTAATAGATAATTTTCGCATCTTTGACTAATCGCAAACTCGATACTTTTTAAGTACGAAATGATTTGGACTAATTACTATTTTATTCTGTTAATTTTTTAATTAATTTTAATTTATTAGAATTTAAAAAAAAAAATATTATTTAATAAAAGAATTTACAAACAACATTAAAAATCCAAAGATTAAGTTTTAAGAAATTAGGATTTTTTTTTTTTAAATTCAAAAAATTTAAGGTTAATTACATTCCACTGTGAAAATTTCATAATAAGCACTTAAATTTTTGGAATTTATTTAAATTTATGGCTTGATCTTAAGAATTTTGTAACATTCCTGTTTATTTTCTTTTTTAGGAAAAGTAACAATATTTACATTGTTAACAATACATAAATACATAAATTTAAATCTCTATATTTTTATAAACAATGTATCCATCGTTTTATAAGACAATGTAAAATTTCATAGAAAAATATTAGTTTTGTATATCTGAACCCCTGTAATTTCTGAAAATTCAGTCAAGAATTTGAGTTCCAGATAATTTATTCTAGCTCTTATATATAATTCTTCATAGTCGAAGAATGATTTTATATACAAAAGCTTAATTATTCTCACATAATACAGAATGACTCAAGAATTAGTTAACGATATCAGAACCGACCGTCATACATTTTGACGACAACGCAGTTACATAGTAGTAAATTGTTAGAAATGTCTTTGAATGCCATACATTATGTATCCAATGTAAAAAATTTCATCTCGAAACAATTTTTATAAATTTGATGAATAGAAATTACAATAAAACCGTCTTTAGAATGTTAAATGAATTTTCGACCATATTGTATATGGGGGTACTTGTTAATGTTAACACAAAATATGTCTCTAGATTCCATAGACCATTCGGAGAGAGAATTCCTGGCATATTGTTGACAACAGTGAACAAGTGAAGACATCAAAATTGTGAATAAACATTTGTTAATGTGTTACGATGTATTATTTATTCTATTTCCATATAAGCTCTTAACATATTTTTGAAGCATTTGCATATTCTGTTAAACTTAAGATATTTATTTAAAATTGTTGCAAATTCCAAATTAGTGCGTTAAAACTCTTTATCAGAAGACCAAGAGACTTTACAGAGTAACATTTTCTGGCACTTGATAATATATTAAACAATTAAAATGGCTGGAAATTGGTTTGAATTGTAGAATCAAGAGGTGAGATTCTTGTCTTTATTGTATAAGAAAAGATTGATTGAATGAATGTAAAATGTAATGTTTGCAAAAGATATAGTTAACATAATACTATCACCGAGAGAAAAAAAAACTGTTTTAAATTCTAAATAACTTCATTTTCTTAATCAAAACAGAGAAATGAACCATCAGTTCTAAGTTTTGGTTGTCGTGATGACTCATCACACACTATTGATGTCACTGTCAATGGTGTAAGAAGCAGAAGATATTTAAATATGGTCAATCTTCCCAACGGTAGATGTCGACGAGAACATAAAGAGGTGGCTGTCACTTGGAGATGACTGTCGTTCAGAGGTCTTTTTGTAAGCATTTTGAAGAGACCCCCAAAATGACTACTGAAGTCTAGAGGCAGCCTCTGTTGGAGGTTTGAATGTATTTTGATATCGGAAACAAATTTCTCGGATATTTTAAGAACTTGTATTTTATTAAATTTTGGATCATATTATATTACTAAATATAATACAAAGCCTCGAGGAACATTATCAATGCTGTTTGCTTTAATTAAATGAAGATTTTCATAGAATTTATGTTGAACTTATAGCTTTTAATTTACATTACATCAGTATTTAAAAAAATTGAAATTAAAATACACATATCATAATATATTTTTAATTGTTTTAAAATTTATTATCTAAATAAAGTTTTATTTTATTTTTTGAGAGTTTAAAGTGGTAAGATGTAAGAAAACTTTTTATGATAATTGAATTTGTGTACAAATGAATTACATAAAGCGAGAACATTGACTGAAGGTGCAGAAGGATCTGTTTCATTCCATACAAATATTAGAGACATGACAATATGTAAGGATTTTTGACTCAGAAAATCAAAATTAGTGAATCATTCAGTTGTAAAATTTATATCAAGATAAATCCAATCAATTTTCTATAGCAGTTTGAAGTTTATCTATTGAATCTTGACTGTTTAGTCACTGTTAGAACTTTGGCTTTATTGATGCTAATCACATATTATTTAGTTGTGATTAAGAGATGAAATATTAATAAATAAGTTTAAAACTATACAGAAATTCATGTTTAAGTAATTTTTTCTATGAATTTACATAGACATCATTGACATTTAAATTCTTATACATTTCTTTTTAAATGGTGTATGGTGAAATGTCAAATCTGATTTAATGCTTTAATTATTAATGTATAAATATGTTGCAGTATTAACAATAATCTTCACATATTTTGAATTTAACTATCTAATTTTCCATCTCACTAGAAAGAAAATTAAATAATTAAAGGAAAATGATTTGTAAATCATGGCGCGATCGTTGGGAGGAAGTGCAACGTGGTTCTACCTGATAGTCTGGCAGATTCCACCAGCCTTTGCCAAATGACCTCCTCATAAAAAATATGCTAGAAAAAGTGGACTCCTGTCACAGACCATTACTAATCCTATTCATTCTAGTTTATTTTCTTAAAAAAGCAATTATCTTTAAAGGGTGTAGTAATGTAATTTTGGTATTTTTTAAATAATTTATTAATAAAAATGGATAAATGTAAACGATGGCAAGCACAGTAATGAAACTTTAGAGAAAATGGAAAAATTAAACATCAGGAGTTTTCTGTTCCATTCTTTTTTATTAGAATAAAGTGTAGGTTATAGTTGAAAAGTACGTAGTGTATTATTTCAATTTAAATATTATATCATTCAGTCATGAGAACAGTAATGAAAATGTTCCACTCACCATCTTTTACATCAAAATCCTTCGATCATAAAAACGTTTCAAGTGAATTCTAGTTTCTGCCACAGACTAAATCTTCAATCCACTTTATAGCACTTCTGTATGACACAACCAGCTTGTTCTCTTATAATCTTTTATAATTCTATACCATGTTAAAGATGAAAAATTCAGAATATTCAAAAACAAATCTGTTTTGGAATAATTTACATTCTTGGATCTTTACCAATTTCTTAACAAAAGTGCAAAAGAAGAATCTGGCCACATTTTTTTTTGATAAAACATAAGACAATTCTGTTTAATATTTGTATCCAAACAACACATCATTAATATTGCTTGATTTGTTTTAATTTATACATCAATACACTTACATTTCTTTTCAGAAAATGGATTTTTATAGTCAAGGTATTGGCATTCGGTCTCCAATCATTGAAAATAACTAAGGAAGTTTTGTCTAAGATTTCTAAAGATATAAAGTTTGTTATCAACGGATGCTCTTCCGTGGAGATAACTGTATTGATTTTTACAATTCATCCATTCCATTCAGAATATTATTAACAGAGTTATTTGAAACTGTCATAAGAATGAAAATGTTTAATTAGAAGAGTTTGAAATGTTTATTTTAAGAAAATAATAGCTTCAAATGGTTAATTGTAAGAAACACAAGCTGAAATCAACTGATTGTAAGGATAAACTTGAATCAATTACTTGTAAGAAAGGAAGACTTGTAAGTAGAGTTTAAAATGTTACAAGGCAGCTGGACATAGCTACAATAATTAAGATTTTTTTCAAATGATTACAAAAGTAGAAAGCTTCAGATTATTATAATAATAAAGTGACAATACTCTTACTAGAAAGAAATCTCTGGAAATGATTGTAAAATAATAAAGGTTAATTAACACCAAAAGACAGTATTATTTCCTGTTTTAATGGTAGAAGTTTACGAGAACGAAGGAACTTTATGCTTACAAGTAAAAATATAAGCCGAAATTTCCAAGAAAATGTGTCGAAGTGATTGCTTGTAAGAAAGAAAAGATAGAAAAAAATAGTTGAAAATGATTGCGAGTAAGAAACATCCTCAAATTTCTGCAAGGACTTCGAAGTGGTTACTTGTTGTTTGTTAAATTATGGCATTGCAACACTTGGACAATCTGCCTAGGGGATACCTTCCGGGAGGTCTTTTAAAGAGAAACTTGTCCCTATTTAGGCATTACAGACGTGGAGAAAACCCGGAAAACTCCACGTGGCCAACCGTCCCAGCGAGGCGCGAACTCCCAGTATTCAGGGTACGAAGATCGCTCGGCACTTCGAATTGGTTACAAGAATAAAAATCGTAACGCTAACAATGAAAAAAATACTGAAACTGTAACCGTCCTCCGTCGAACTGTATTGTCCCCCCTTTTTTATTTGGAAATTTGAAACATTTAACCCCATAAAAAGAAAAAATTGCTTTAGAAATAAAACTCCAAGAAAACAATACGCAGAGATTTATGTAATTTATATCTCGTATGACAAAGACGACCTTCGAGTGTAGACAGAAAATATCGGACGAAGATACAATTTTCGATGGTATCAATTCTATTTGGAGAAAGAAAGATAAATATGGATTTTCATCCGTTTGCCGAAGACGACGTCTGAGATCTTAAATTGATTTTTAAGTCGATAGATGAAGCGAGAGATGCGAAGAAAAATAAGTTAATTTTATTAATTCTGATTGGCCAGATTTCTATAATCGTAATGGTTGCGATTTTTTACGCTTTCGACCAGAAACAAAATTAATATCAGTAATTAGACGGATATTAACGAAAGAATTAATCCAATTTTCTAAACTGTAATCGAATTACGCACGGATATTAATTACTTAGAGAAAGAGAGAACTAATATATAGATTTAAAGCAATTAAGAATTTTTTAAAAATTTCGCCATTTTGTAGCGGTTTAAAGGTGAAAGAATTAATAATATAATTAGAATAATACGTTTAAAACTTTTTCAGATGGAACCAAAATGGCCGACGTTTGAT